AATTAACTAATTAATTAAGCTATATTAAGCATCATATTTCCGCACTCTCTTTGCTTATACCTGAGCAAACACAGTACTAGCCTTTAGTGTGACTGCTGGTGTGGTATTATAACTGTTCTGTGAAATGTGTTAACACATGTGTTGTTGTCCCAGCTTTTTTTTTCTATGCCAAGAAAGGGGGGAAGCAGACGGAGGCGCCGGAGACGCCACCGGACGGAGCGCCGCGGGACCGCAGCCTTCGCACCGCGGCGCTCCTGCGGCGTCCCTGGAAGGAGCGCTAAATCAGTGCTCCTTCCACAAGACAGGGAAAGTGCGCCCTAAAAGCATAGGGTGCACTTTCTCTGCCTTTTCCACCGCAGCGCGTGCGGACGCTGCAGCAGGAGGTTGTCCCCGGAGCGCCGGCCGTGCGGAGGGCCGGCGGCTCCAAGGACGACCTCGGGAAGAGGAAGAGGCACTGCGCGTGCAGCTGCCCCTCCTCTTCCTTGCCTCGAAGACGACTCAATTAGTCGTCTGCCGAGGCCCAAAGTTTCTGGATTTTCGGTCACATGTATAGCTATTAAGAGCACAAATCATCTTGTCTATTTAAAATAGGAGTGGACAAACTGTGGCCTGTAGCCTGCATGCAGACCTTGGGGCCTCAAACTGTGGCCTCTGGACCCTTCCCCATTTTACAAAAAATCCCTGGGCAATTGTTCAAAAAAACAACCCATGGCTTAAAACCATGCCCACCAACACCCTACATACCTTGGGGGGGGGGACCAGAAGCCCCACAAAAAAGCAGGTGAAAATCAGAATCAGAAGTGACACTGTTTACTTCCTGTTTCTATTTTGTTTATGTTTTTTTAAACATTCTCTCTCGTGTTTTTTCTTTCTTTCTTTCTTTTTTTGGTTGTTTCCAGGGATTTTGATGATGTGGGAAGGGGGAGCTTGAGGGCGAGGGATCAAACTCACTGCATTTTCCAGTTGTTTTCAGCCTCTGGGTTCTTGGTGGATGCCCACCTTTAGGTTAGACGAACCCATGTTCCAAATCTGTTCAGTATTTCTACAGGCAAAACATGGGGACCAGAAGGAATCAGGGCAATCATCAGGGAAGTGACATCTCAGGTTGGGAGGCAATGGAGCCACATACCTGCTCAGTGTGTTTCTGATATCCTAAAGAGAAGAGAAAAAGAAATATAACGGGGGTGAGAAAGACAGGAATTCATCACAATGAAAGTATTCTCATTATAGGCACTTTTATCTGAGAAAAAGAGATAGGAGTAAATGCTTTCAATCACTGTATACCTTCTAATTATAAGATGAGGGGGCTGGTGAGATACACCAGTGGGAAAACACATGACTTGGAATGAAAGAATGTGAAAATATCCACATTTGCCATGAGTGGGAAGGAGTAGGCACCAAAGAGAAGTCAGTCCAAATGGTGTGGAAAGCTAACTTGAGCATTTCTTTATCCCATCCCACCCCATAAAACCAAAAACCAGTAAGCATTTTATTGTTGTTGTTATATACCTGCAAGACAGTTCCAACCTATGGTGACCCTAAAGCAAACTTATCACAAGGTTTTCTTGGCAAGATTTGTTGAGAAGGGGGTTGCCATTGACAATGTCTTCCTCTGATTTCTGAGGCTGAGAGAGTGTGACTTGCACAAGGCCACCCAGAGGGTTTCCAAGTGAGGATTCAAACTCTAGTATCCAGAGCCGTAGAGCAATGCTCAAACCACTACACCACACTGGCTCTCCAGCCAGCAAGCACTATCATAGCTCAATCAAAGTCTAAACAGGAAAGCCAGCTAAAGCAACTGGGATCACTCCATTCCCAAGAGACCTTTTACTAAATTGGTTGTGCCAACAGAAATAGTCAAAAGAGTATCTAACCCTTGGCTCAGTCATTAATCAAAATTGAGGCTATAGTGAAGAAATCAGACTAGTGCTTAGAAAGGAACTAGAGATCTTCAAGTGTAAGGATATTTCATTAAATGCCAAAGTCAGAATCATCAATGCCATATCATTTCCGATTTCTACATATGGTTCTGAAAGCTGAAGAATGAAGAAAGATGACATAAAGAGAATCACTTAATTTGAAATGTGGTGATGGAGGAATGTTCTGCTGATACTAAAGACTGCCAAAAAGACAAATGAATGGTGACAAAGGGAAATCCAGCTTGAACTCTTCTTAGAAGTCAAAGTTACTAACTTGCGGGTATTGTATTTTGGACATATTATGAGACAATATAACAGGGGTTGTCAACCTACGGCCCGCGGGCCGGATCCGGCCCAGAGAGGCCTTGTTACC